TTAGTCTCATATTGTGTTGCTTGTCATCAAGTCGGTTCCAACTCATAGCAACCCTGTTTAGGGTTTCCGAGGAGAGGCTGGTGGGTTTGAACTGCCAACCTTGTGGTTAACAGTCCAGTGCTGATCCTACAGCATCACACAAGCACTCTTTAGGATGCTTCGTTAAAAAATTGAAAAAAGATACTCTTTGTGTCATGTTTTTGTTAAGTGCTGTTAAGTAGGTTCTGACTGATAGCAACCCTGTATAGGGTTTCCAAGGAGTGGTTGGTGAGTTTGAACCGATGACCTTGTGGTCCAAACTGACCTTTAGGTCCGGTGCTTTAGAGGAAGAAAAAGCAAAACTTTTGAGATTGGAGCTAATACCAGGTTTTTAACACAATTCAAATGGACATCTTCCCAAATCATTGAGATTTTGCAACAAGTTTATGAGAATGCTGCTCCAAAATACAACAACAGTTTTTAGATGGAGCACATGTTTTACGGAAGGTTGGGAAAACCTCAAAGAGGAATTCAAAGCAGTAATATCAGTTCAGAAGGTTATGGTGATTGTTTTTGGATTCCACATGGGTAATAGTGATAGATATACTCAAAGGACCTAGTACGACCATGGAGGCTTATTAGGAAGAAACTTTAAGAAAACCAAAAACTACGTTAGTGGGAAAAAGTTAAGGAAAGCTGCATCAAGATGTTGCTTTTCACTCCAGTAATGCTGGTGCCCATTCTTCAAGGGTAGCGAGGACTGTTGTACCAGTATTTCATCAGAAAACCTCACCCCATCTACAGCCCTGATTGTGCCCTTTCAGACTTCGTTCTCAACCCTCAGAGAACATTTAAAAGGAATGTGATTTGAGCTCCTCGTAGATATCACAAATACCATTTTGACATGGCATTAATCAGAGTGGAAACTCAGTGGCTCCATTGGATAAGCACTAGACTGTGAACCACAAGGTCACCGGGTTAAGCCCAGCCGCTCCACAGGATAAAGATGAGGCTTTTTGCTACCGCAAAGATTTAAAGCCTCAAAAACCCTGTAGAGGGATTCTGTGAGTCAGAACCGACTGAATGGCACTTAACAACAAGAGCAAAACAAAGAGTGTACAGCTCTTTCATGGAAAGCTTGTTGGTAAGTGCCATGCAGTCGGTTCCTGCTCATAGCCACCCCGTGCAAACAGGACGCAACAGTGCCCAGTCCTGTGCCATGTTTGAGTCCATTGTTGTAGCAACTATACCTGTCTGTCTCATTGGGGGTCTTCCTCTTTATCACTGACCCTCTCCAGGGACTGGTCCCTCCTGACAGCATGCCTTAAGTATGTGAGATAAACTCTCGTCATCCTCGCCTCCAAAGAGCATTCTGGCTGAACTTCTTCCAAGACAGGTCTGCAGGTAGTTCTTGCTGTTCGTTTGGCAAAACCGTAGTTCAAATGCATCGATTCTTCACTGGTCTTCCTTATTCATTGTTTGCTTTCCTGTGCTTATGAGACAACTGAAAATAGCATGACTGGGTCAGGTGCACATTAGTCCTCAGAGTGACCTCTTTGCTGTTTAACACTTTAAAGAAGTCTTTTGCAGCAGATTTGCCTAATGCAATACATTGTTTGATTTCTTGGCTGCTGCTGTAGATTGTAGATCCACACAAAATGAAGTCTTTGACAGCTTCAGTCTTTTTTCTGTTTGTCATGATATTGGTTCAGTTGTGAGGATTTTCTATTTTGTTTTGTTTTTGTATTTGTGTTTTCAGTTAAGGTGCAATCCATACCGAAGTCTTGGGTCTTCATCGGTGAATATTTCCTATCCACTTCACTTCCTTCAAGCAAGGTTGTGTCAGCGGCATATCGCAGGTTGTTAGTGAGTCGTCCTCCAATCCTGATGCCACATTCTTCTTTATATAATCCGGCGTCTCAAGTTATTTGTTCAGCATACAGATTGAGTCAATATGGTGAAAGGATACTGCCCTGATGCACACCTTTCCTGGTTTTAAACCATTAAATGTCCCCTTGTTCTGTTCGAATGACTGCCTTGTAAGGTCTGTGTGCAGGTTCTGCATGAGCCGCAGTGAAGGAGCCTGGAATTCCCGTTGTCCATAGTTTGTTATGATCCACATAGTCAAATGCCATTGCATAGTCAACAGGACAGAAGTAAACAGGTGTCTGCTGTTCTCTGCTTTCAGCCAAGATCCATCTCACATCAGCAATGATCTCCTTAGTTTCATGTCCTCTGATGCATCTGATTTGAATTGCTGGCAGCTCCCTGTCAATGAACTGTTGCAGCTGTTTTTGAAATATCTTGTACAAAATTTTACTTGTGTGTGATATTAATGATATTGTTCAATTATTTCTGCCTTTCTTTGGAATGGGCATACATATGGATGTCTTACAATCAATTGGCCAGGTAGCTGTCTTCCAAATTTGTTGGCACAGATGAGTGAATGCCTCCAGCACTGCATCAGTTTGTTGAACTATTCCAATTTGTATTTCTCTCAACTTTTGAAACCTTGTTTTTCTCCAGTACCTTCAATGCAGCTTGGGCTTCATCTTCAAGTTCCATCAATTCGTGATCATCACTACTTTTTGAAATGGTTGAAGGTCGACCAATTCTTTTTGATACAGTGACTCTATATTCCTTTCATACTCTTTTGGTACTTCTTGCATCATTTGATATTTTGTCCATAGTAGCCTTTAGTATTACAAGACAAGGCCTGAATATTTTCTTTAGCTGTCTCAGCTTGATAAATACTAAGCATGTTCTTCACTTTTGGTTTTCTGGCTCCCTGTCTTTGTGCAAATCATTATAATACTTTACTTTGTCTTCTTCAGAAGTGAATAGACCTAGATTGAAGATAGATTGAGAAAAACTAGCTTCATGTTTTGATATTTTTGTTTCATAAAGGTTTCTATGATTTTGTAGCAATACTTTTTTATTTACCTTCATGTTAAACCACGTAGAGGGAAGTTAGGGAGACTACCAAGACTAAGCAAACACCTTGCAGGACTGACTGACTGCATTAGAGGGTTTGGGACCATACAATTGTAGAACACTTGAATTAGCATTGACATCGATTTTGAAAGTTGTGTCCTACATCCTAGTTTGATGAGTAGCATCTGGGGTCTTAGAAGCTTGCAAGTAACCATCTAAGATATAAATAGCTATTGGTCTCTACTCATCTGGAAGAAAGAAGAGCGAAGGATACCAAAGATCCAAGGGAAAAATTAATCCACAGGACTAATGGCCTAGGAGAACCACAACCTCTTCAAGCCTAAAGCCATAGCCAATTGGTGACTGGCCACACTGTCCAGAAACACGATTGGTGGTGTTGTTGGGAAGTGCCGACGAGTCGATTCCGACCCATAGCGACCCTGTAATAGGGTTTCCAAGGAACAACTGATGAGCTTGAACCGTTGACCTTGCAGTTCAAACAGCTTTGCAGTCTGATGCATTAACCCATAGCGCCACACCAGGACTCCAGGAACACAATAGAAGCATTCAAATGGGAGAGAAATGTAGACCAAAAGGCAAAGTCCTTAAAGAGGCCAGACTTACTGGACTAATAGAGACTGATAGAGAACCCCTTTAAATTTGGGACTGAAAATACTCCTAGTGTTTATCTTTCTTCCAAACAATAGATTGACAAATACATCACCCATGAACACTGTGCTCCCTTAAGTTAATCTGCTGTATGAGACCAAGCAGTCAACACTTACCTAAAACAAGGACAAGAAGCCAGGGAGGACTGGGAAGGCTTGATAAATAGAAGCAGAACAAAAAGAATGGAAATGATACAAATGTTACACATTGCAAAAGAATATCACCAGTATCATGGAACAGTTGTATTAAAATTGTTAATTATGCTAATGTGTTTCACTTAAAACA